GTGGGTGGTCCACATTGCTGCTCGCCTGACTGTACCGCCAGCGAACACGAAATCGGACGGTTGAAATGTTTTCGATGCTTCCAAAATTGTATCTGCGGCTGATGTTTGCCCTCGATTGGTTTGTTTGGCAGCATGCTCACGTGGATGACAAAACAACGGCTAGATAAGCTCGAATCGGACGGCTTAAAACGCTTCGTGAATGTCGGAACCCCAACTACGGCTAGCTTCGGCACGCACCGACATCCGCAGCGCGTTGGACCTAGCCCAGCATGACGTGTTGCACGCGTGGATCTATGCGTGGCGTGGCGGGGTGGGGTCATACCTGGTGGTGGGATCATCATTGGGGAAGCGCTAAGCTGCTCAGCTGCTGTAAAATCGTATTCGGGCACGACAGGGACGGCTGGAAAAGGCACCACATTTTATCTCGCGCCAAATCCGGCTGCTTATGTGCTACATCGAGTGTGGTAACCGGATCTCAAGTATGTATGGGCGGACTATCTGTGAAATAGCGGGCGGTTCACTCACAGCAAGTAACAGAGAGCAGCTCGCTGGGTTGAGGGAAAGAGACAAGTGGTGAGACGGGATGGTTTGGAAGAACAACACCAAACCCTAGGTCCCGTACTCCATAATGCTCGCCATGAATAGTTGTGGCAAACTCCTATACAAAAAAATGTGAATACCGGTATGAACATTTGTATAAGCTGGATGATTCTGCCCATTCTCTGTACACTGGATAATGGAGCCTGCTAATCACATAAGGAATTACAATATGCAACGTGACCCTAAATGGCAAACATGTGTAACATGCTACCAACACACGGCTCAGATTTGTGTTCGACAGCAAATTCATTCGGAGAATGGCAATAATGGCAATTGCGTCTTTGATGAGTTCAACTGAACCGACTCAGGAATGGTTCCCTCCCTCGCAGCAATTTTCTCCATCCTGGCATCTCGCAGCCTCATCCCATCCCACTATCTCTGCTCCTCATCCCATCCCATCCCACCATATCTGCTCATCATCCCATCCCACCATCTCTACTCATCATCCCGTCCCACCATCTCTGCTCCTCATCCCGTCCCACAGTCTCCTTTCATCATCCCATCCCACCGTCTCTGCTCGTCATCTCATCCAATCCCACCATCTCTGTTATCATCCCATCCCATCCCATGCCATGTGACTGTTGTGATGGTTCAGCCTGCAAAAGGTTAGCAAAAGGTCATGCTTCCAGCAGCAGTTGGCAGTTGAATACTGATACACATACACCTTGACACTGACCCAGCTACTGATCCGAATGCTGACCTGAACAGCTCCCAACCTTCTTTGCTGAAACTGGTTCGGCGAGGTACAATACAAACCAGGCGTGGGGAATCACGAGTGGTAACAAGAATCAGAGCAAGCTCAAACGTACCCACCGTGTCCCGCTGATCCAAGTGTCAAACTCCCATCAGCAATGACGGTATGGCGCAGCTGATTACAAGATGACTTGTGACCTGAGTCGAGTTAGAGGCCACCAACGCCCACCTGCTTGTGCTCCAACATTCAATATGATCAGGATAGATGAAAGTGGCAGCAGAAGTCAGAGAGCTCAAGATGAGTGGCATTTCAACGAAAGATGCTGACCCTCACACACTCCTCCCCTGGCGTGCCTCACTGACTTACCGCATTCCACTGCTTTGCCTCACTGCGGAAGGGGGAGTGGGATAAGGAGGGTGGGGGGAAGCAAGGGGCAGTGGGAGGGGAAGGGGAGGCGGAGGAGGGGCAGGTAGAGGTTGGGTGGTGAAATGAAGGAAATGAAGCGTGGAGTGATGATTTTTTAGATGATGTCGCGTGGTTTAAAGCAACGAGCTGCGATTGCGGTAACAGTGCTAACAGGTGATGCTTGATGGAAGTGCCATGTGCAAAGACACACGAGTGATCGAGCATACAGGCTGACATGCATGTTTCCGCAAGGAGGAGGCGGAGGGGCAGGTGGAGGGTGAGTGGCGAGGTAATGGAAATGGAGCATATTGTGATGTGATGGGTCTTCCATGATTCCAAGCCCTGACCTGCAATACGGCTACAGTGCTTACTGGTGATGCTCGGAAGCACTCAGACACACACGAGGTGGCGCATGCAGAGGTGACATGCATGGTTCCGCAATGTTGCTCATCCTCCTCGCAGTCGAAGCAGAATAAAACGTGTGAATGCAAACAGAGTGAAGGGGGGATGCATACATACCAAGCAGCACACGGTTGGTTCAGTTCTTGATGGCTCTTCGTTTGAGGGCACGAATCTGACTTGGCATGGCACGGATCTGACTTGGCATGGCACAGATCTGACTTGGCATGGCACAGATCTGACTTGGCATGGCACAGATCTGACTTGGCATGGCACGGATCTGACTTGGCATGGAGGGGTTGGCTGCATGGACATGGTTATTGACAGAAATTGCAACTTCAGAATATTTTCACACCCCATCCAGTTCCAAATCTACCACTGGAATTGGGATTAACAGAAACGGAATTCGAAACAACAAAATGCAAAAAAGGTAGAAATTATGAAAAGTCTTAGTACAGTTGGGAGGCAATGCTTTTTTTTTGGAAGAACAACATGTTGTTGCTCTTAGAAAAAGGTCATCGCAGTGCATGACAATTGCTGCGTTTGATGGAGGCATTTGTAAGATGCAAGAAGCAGTACATTCATGAGAAGCAGCACATTCATGCGAAGCAGCACATTCATGCCAAGCAGCACAATCATGCAGCACACAAGTGCTTCCTGTAGCATGAACAACCATGCATACAAACAATGTGACCCAAACACGTGCTTTGTCAACTGCCCAAACAACAAGATCAACAGCCCATACAACAGATCAAGCTCTTCGGTTCTTGCAACTTGTATCTTGATTTTGTTATGTATCTGCGCTAGTTATCATAATAGCATCTTATTTACATGGGCCTGCTAGTAACAAACCAGCCCTATCAGTGAACTATATCATACAAGGTACAACCTTTCCTACACCCTAGTCAGTAACAAGTCATACGGTATTTGTCATCTCCACCTGGGTTGCTGGAACTGCTGTTTCTGCGAGGCTGCTGTAGCAGTCTGGCCTCGCAGCTCACTGTTGCTCCCTGCTGCTGCCTGCACTCCCTCCACCCCCACCCCTCCCCCCTCCCTCACAGCTGAAACTGAACCATTTCTCAAGGGTGAAAAGGGTAGAGAGGGAGTCACTGGCACTATGAATATTGACTGGGAAGGCAACACCGACTAAACAAATCAGCATCACTGCTGGCAAATGGTCATATACTAGGGGAAGTGGTCTGAGGAAGCAAGCAGAGATAGGAGTCGGGAGAAATATAGATAAGCAGGCAAGTTCCTGGATTTTCTCAAACCCATGCAGTTATGCCTCAGGAGGGTTTGTGAGTGAAGGGTGGTGAAGGTTGATTGGTAGCGAAAGGAACGGAAGTTGATCGGGCAGAAAGGAGGGGAGTTGTGAACACAGAGAGGAAAGAGCTTGAAACTTGAAATGGGCAGAAAGGGAGGCACTGGAACCATGACCAACACCGACCGACAGGGAAACACAGACTATAAATGATTTTGTAAGCAAAAGTAAAATTTGTTGAAGCTGGAGGCATTAATGAGAAGGAAGCAGCTGATGAAATTCATTACCAGCAACTGGAGGGTTCCAGAAAAAGCAAGTGAGCATAAGCAAGTGAGCATGAGCATTCCCACACTCCTGATAAACCATTTTCCCCTTCTTCACCGTCCTCTGGCGAAAGGCACGCCACCAGCCGTTCCTCCCTCCCACGCGCCACTCCCTCCCAGCATCATGGTGAGATGAAATGAGCACGAGCAACTGAACGCATTATAAGCTGATGTGAATGACATGAGGCTCAGGAGCGAAGGAGCGGATGATGAGCCAATGAAGGGGACGTGACAAACAGGTTAAAGGATTGAAAAGTTGAGAAGAAATGCATGAGAATCGTGAAGGATGATGAGATGATCTGATTATGGATTGGCACGAAATCGTGAAAGCACCAGGATCTGATGAAACTGGCTGGCATGCAATGCAGCATCATATGCCCATAGAAAAGCAAGCATGTACAGAAACATACGGCAACAACAACTTCAGCTGATGTGAAAAAAAATGGAACATTTCTTGGTTCCTTACTGCTGTGAAGTTCCAGAGAGGTGAGAGAACTTTAGAGGGGGAGATAAGAAGGGAGAGAGGGACAGTAGAATGTATGAGATTATGCTAAAATGGGTCTAACATAAGCACTAAAAGCATCAAGAGCTGATGTGAATGGCATGAGACAGTAAAAACAATCCGGTAAAAAAATACGAGAGCATCAAGAGCTGTTAAGGAACAGTGAAAGAAATCAGGCAAAAAGGTGAAAGCATCAAGAGCTGACAAGGAATGGTGAACGCATCTTGAGCTGATAAGACTCTGACGACAAACTTAAAGCCTGGTGACATCATGAGGTGATGAAACTGGAATGAACTACTCACCAAGCAGCACATGATGGTAAGAAAGGAAAAAAATGAAACAGCGTTGGTTATGCATAAGTACTGCTCAAATTCCAAAGAATTGGAAGGGGGGAGGGAGGGAGGGATGAGATGGGACCAGGCGGTGGTGATACAGATAAACAAGAGATGTCAGGAAGAAGTGCGTTGAAATCATTCCAAGCAGGGGGTAAGAGGAGGGGATGCAGAGGGAAGGAAACAAAATAGCACGGAGAGAATCAGACAGCTAGTGCCAGCCACATCAAGTCACTACTTCCTGGTTCACCCATCCACACAAAAACACCACCAACCATACCTTCCTTCCATGCACCACTCAGTCGCAACACACAAACACAGAATGCACATCAACAGCATGTATACGTATAAATATTCCTAGAACAGATTCCTAACCTAGAGCAAAACCTAGTATTATCTTGCACTTCCTACTATCCAAGAGCCAAGCAGGTGCATGGTGCAGCAACAGATCACACAATCAGGTCAGCATGAGCATTCAGGTGCATCAGCAGAGGATCCAAGGGCATGTCATTCCCCCTCGTGCCATGCCTTCCCATTCCAGCTCACCACATTCCTCCACCTCTCCTCCCGTCTCTCCCACAACACCCTGCAAGCAGGGTGGAAAAAGGGGTAAGTCCCTCCATGCACCTCCCTCTAGCCCCCACCAGCCATACCATCTCACCCACCTCACTCGTCCCTTGAACACGCCATGGATCGCATCTGCTGCTGCTGTCTTTTTTTCTTCTTCTTCTTGTTAGTTTTCTGTTTCTTTTCTGATTATTTTTCACTCCTTTGCTACCTTCCCTGGCCTGGGAATGGCACTTGCCGTCGCTCCTGCTGCGGCCCTCCTTGTTGACGCACTGCTTGCAGGTCTGGGGATTCCGGATGCGCCAACAAGAACCTTTGCACTTGCAGCTTTCACATCTACCGTCGCAGTAGGTCCTGGAGGTGTCGCCTTAGCTGGCACGGCCTTGGTTGGTGGCGCCACCTTAGCTGGCGTCGCCTTGGCTGGGGTCACCTTAGCTGGTGTCGCCTTAGTTGGCGCCGCTTTGGCTGGCGTCGCCTTGGCTGGAGTCACCAACTTAGCTTCCGTCGTCTTTGCTGCTGTCGCCTTAGCTGCCGTGGCTTTGACTGCTGCAGCTGCGACGGTCGCTTGACCGCTCTGCACCGCTCTGGGCTTCACAGCAGCAGCGGTACCCATCACATCCCTGGGCCTGGGCTTCTTGCTGGGCGGCTTAGCCACGGGCTTGGGTCGCAGAGGGGAGAAGCCGAGTGACGCACGGGGGGAGCGCATAGCGCACTGCTCTTTCTCGCTGAAGCGCCCCACGCGCCATGCAATCGCGCGCCGCCACATCTTCAAGACGTTAGCGCCGCGGCGCGTGCTGCTGAAGCTACTGCTGATGCCGCACACCGCAGCGGATCCAACAAGAGACGTGGTGATCCGAGATGCCATCGCACTAGGAGCGAGAGGCTAATCGCACAGGCGGAACGAGAGGCGAAGCTAGGAGCTGAAGCTGATCGAAGTTCCGAGTAGCTAGTAGCTGAGTCTGAGAATTGATGGAAGGAGATTGCAACTGTTGTTGTGGTGGGAATGAAGTGGACGGGTGGCCTATGTAGTGTTCCAAGGCGGAGAGAAGAGTGGATGGAGCTCGACTACGGAGAGAAGCAACTCTCGAGGCTGCGCCTGCTGCCCGAACGGAGAAGAAAGACGAAAAAAAAAACTCCGAAAAGTGCTCTGAATCTGCTCTGTCTATGGACGTGGACCACTGAGGGTTTGGTCAGCCAATAGGAGGAGGCCGAGCCTGCTCCAAGACGGACCTCGAAGCGGCCTAGCATTTGGCCCGCCAATGAGTAGTCCGAGACCTCTGCTCCAAGCCGAACCTCGAAGCCCAGCTCTGTCGGTTGACAACATTGCGGCTCGTTCATCTACATTCACGGAGTTTCTGGGCAGCAGGCTCAACTGTAGCTGCCCAGAAATATACGGAACGATTTATCCGTTACTCTCGCCCGCTGCCCGTGGTCTAGGAAGGGGTTCGTCTACAACAAAGAGGGTTCTGCTGGTGTTTGACTGGATGACCGGTGAAAATGGAGGGAGTTGCTGCCGTGAGATGAGCTCGAGGCTGCTCGAGAATGTCTCCGTTCAGTTCCGTCGCCGCTTCACAGCGGCGGGTGAACGCGAGTGCGACAGCCCCTGCTGCGTCCTAGACGGAAACTAATGCCGCTGCCGCCAGCAAATCAGTCCCGCAACAATCCATTTCTTGGGAACTACGCTCCTAGGGTTTCGTCATTCGATTATGGTTCCGTTCCGACATTTTCGCCTGGTCGGATCAATGTCCAGCCCAAACAGGTCCAGTGCCATAACCGAATCCGAGCCGAACCGAACCCGGTTCAGTTTTCCTCGAACCAGTTCCCTCCCTGTCTAGCAAATTTTCTCGACTCTTTCCCTCCACGCTTCGTCGTCAATCTCAGGACGCGGGCACTCCCTCCACAATTGCGTGATCGAACCTACGCAGGTTCGTTTATTTACAGGTTTTCAAAAGGTTGGTAAGGTTTTAGTCTGTAAATGCAGGTTTCAAGAGCGGTGGCGGATCGAAATTTCATTTTCGATCTCCCAACTCGACGCGAGTGCCCGCGTCCTCAAAGTCTCTGCGCATTTCCCGCTTCGTTCGCAACAAGATTCAAGAAACCCAAGCAGAATCAACGATTGCGATTGATTCGGTTTGGCCCAGACTAATCGACCTGCCTTTTTTGGGTGTGATCCAGATGGGTCGAGTTGGGCCGTGTTGGATCGCCTAGATCCATGAAAGGCCGTCTTGGAAATGAGAGATTGCGGCCTTGGATAGAGGCAATCCAACCGAGCTGCACCACGTGGTTACATTCGCAACATACGGCCTAGAAGTTGAAAGTGAGACTGAAGCAGCAGGCAGAACAGCTAGGTGCAAGGATTTTCGCAACACTGTTAGCGCGAACAACAGCTGAGGTTTGGGAAATATAAGGCGTCAGCGTAGGTTTGGCAATCATAGTAGTCACCTTCTAGTCGCGCAACTTTCTCGCCTTTCAAGTTCCCGTTTCCTGGTGGCAGGACAATGGTCCAGCGGCGGGGAGGCGGCGGAAAGGATGGGGCAACGGGAATGGCAGAGGAGGCGCACGTGCCGCTGCAAGCCATCCTATTGGCTGACAGCTTCGCGCAGACATTCCGACCAATCACGCTGCGCAAACCCAAGGTGGGCGCGCACGGCTACTTAGATGTCTGTTAAACCCTTGCCACGCACGCTTCCATTGCTAAGCACTGTGCGCTGTATTAAAGTATCTTATAACGCGTCTGATCGATCTGGCGCGTCTTCTCGAGCACGCCGTTACAAGAAGTAGCGGATCGTCCTCGCTCCCTCGAGAGTGTTCTGTGCCACTCACGTCTGTCCTTCTCTCGCCTGCCATCGCCTCCCATCGCCTCCCGCTCCCCTTACGGCCGGATGCGCTGTGAATTCAATGATCCCCACTTGTCTCGCGTAGTGCCGCCCCGCCGCTCCCCTCTCTCCTCCGGGTGCGCGGCTGGTGCTGCTGCTGCTGCCGGGGAAGGGCGTGGCGATACACGCTCAATTCAAACGGTCCCCTCGTGACCGGCAGCAGCACACGCCGCTCGATACACGCTCGTGACAATGGCACACGCCGCTCCTCCCTTCCCCCGCGTGCGCGCCAGGCGACGCTGCGGCTGGCGCGCGGGGCAATGGTGGACTACATACCGCTCGGCTCAAATAGCCAATCGCCCGTTGCAATGCCGCACAACGCCGCTCCCTCTCCACCCCACACCCTCACACCTCACTTCCTGCTGCACGCAGGTGCTGCTACCCGTGTCTGGCGCGCTCATGGTGGTCTATGCACTCCACTCGCGCACTCACCTCGATCGGCACAATGGCATACGCACAAAACGCCGCTCCTCCCCCCCCTCCTCCCCATCCCCCCTCTCCCCCTCTCTACTGCCGCGCGCAGGTGCTGCTGCCGGTAGCGGGCGCAGCAATGGTGGACTACACGCTCGGCTCGAACAGTCCCATCTCCCCCCTCCACAACCTCCCCTTCTCCCCTACTGCCGCGCGCAGGTGCTGCTGCCAGTGGCAGGAGCGGCAATGGTGGACTACACGCTCGAGTCAAATAGTTCCCTCTCCCCCTTCCAACTCCCCCTCCATCCGTGCCGCGCGCAGGTGCTGCTACCAGTGGCGGGCGCGGCCATGGTGGACTACACGCTCGAGTGGCTCGCCATGGCGGGTGTCGAAGAGACCTTCGTCTTCTGCTGCGCGCACTCCCAACAGGTGCGCCACTCCCCCCAGGTGCGCCACTCCCCCCAGGTGCGCCACTCCCCCCAGGTGCGCCACTCCCCCCAGGTGCGCCACTCCCCCCAGGTGCGCCACTCCCCCCAGGTGCGCCACTCCCCCCAGGTGCGCCACTCCCCCCAGGTGCGCCTCTTCCCCCAGGTGACCTGCATTGACCTCAAGGTTCAAAAATACGGTAAATGTAAATTACGGCTCGTAAATTACGGTCGTAATTTACGGTGGTTTTGGCAAAAATACGGTCGTTTTTTTAATGGACTTTTTTGCAGCATTTTTTTGTTTTTTTCCAGAAACTCCAAGAATGCTTACAACAATGTCTAGGAAGTCGACAACAAACTACACTACAGAGAAACAAGCCTATAATGGACCGCTACACCACTACCATTGCTAAGCCTACCCAGAAGTACCTACCTTTAGGCTAGATCTGCTCCTACTCCCTCCCCACACTACGCGAAAAAAACACACTCGCGTGGACTTGGGCGCACGAAATTTCTCACAAGCAGGGTGACGGTTGGGAATGTTGAAATTCGCTAGGCACAAGCTCGGTTTCAAAATTTCGGTCGTAATTTACGACCGTATTTTTGAACCAATCCAATTTTGCAAGGTCGAACCGTTTTTTACCGTAATTTACGGCCGTAAATTACGATACCGTAATTTACGGTAAATTTTCAAAAATACGGTCGTATTTTTTAACCTTGATTGACCTGCATTGACCTGCATGCATTGACCTGCATTGAGCTGCGTTGACCTGCATTGACCTGTACCTGCGTTGACCTGCGTTGACCTGCTTTGACGTGCATTGACCTGCGTTGACCTGCGTTCACCTGCGTCCACCCCATCAGATCCGAGCGCACCTGGAGGATGCCGGCTGGATGCGCCCCTCCTCCTCCTCGCACCATCAGGGGGGCGGCGGGCAGCGGCACGGCATGCGGGTGTCAACGGTGGTGGCACATGACTGTGTGAGCGTGGGGGACGCACTCCGACACATGGATCACAAGGGCGTGGTGAGATGAGACACATGGACCACAAGGGCGTGGTGAGATGAGACACATGGACCACAAGGGCGTGGTGAGATGAGACACATGGACCACAAGGGCGTGGTGAGATGAGACACATGGACCACAAGGGCGTGGTGAGATGAGACACATGGACCACAAGGGCGTGGTGAGATGAGACACATGGACCACAAGGGCGTGGTGAGATGAGACACATGGACCACAAGGGCGTGGTGAGATGAGACACATGGACCACAAGGGCGTGGTGAGATGAGACACATGGACCACAAGGGCGTGGTGAGTGGTGGCATGCTGCTGGTCTATATGATCTCCATCTTATCAGCTCAGCATCGTGCATTCTCCCACGCACTACTCCATTCGCCAGCTGGCTCGCATCAAGCGGGTAGTCTGTGTTGCTGCTCACTGGTCACTCCAACCAAGCTGCGCCCCTCCCTCCCATCTCATCACTCCACCCGTTCCCCGTTGTGCCCCTCTATTTGCATGTTTCCCCGTCAAACATCATCCATCCAGATACTCATCTTCACCTCATGTTGCAATGCCTTCCCTGCCCTGCCGTGTCCCCCTGCCGTGTTCCCCCCCTAACTTCTGCGTGCTGTGGTAACCCTATTGTGTGGCTGGGAATCAGATCCGCGGGGATTTTATTCTGGTGAGCGGGGACGTGATCGCCAACGTCTCGCTCACCCACGCGCTGCACGCCCACAGGTGAGAAAGTCACGCCTCTGCTGACGTCAGCAATTCCACGGGCAATAGTGTAGAGCTCTGCTGGCGTCAACGACTCGCTCAGGTGTTTCCGACCTCAGTGTGGTGTGACTCTTGAGTCAGCTCACAAGTCAGCTCACAAGTCAGCTCACAAGTCAGCTCACAAGTCAGCTCACAAGTCAGCTCACAAGTCAGCTCACAAGTCAGCTCACAAGTCAGCTCACAAGTCAGCTCACAAGTCAGCTCACAAGTCAGCTCACAAGTCAGCTCACAAGTCAGCTCACAAGTCAGCTCACAAGTCAGCTCACAAGTCAGCTCACAAGTCAGCTCACAAGTCAGCTCACAAGTCAGCTCACAAGTCAGCTCACAAGTCAGCTCACAAGTCAGCTCACAAGTCAGCTCACAAGTCAGCTCACAAGTCAGCTCACAAGTCAGCTCACAAGTCAGTTCACAAGTCAGTTCACAAGTCAGCTCACAAGTCAGCTCACAAGTCAGCTCACAAGTCAGCTCACAAGTCAGCTCACAAGTCAGCTCACAAGTCAGTTCACAAGTCAGCTCACAAGTCAGCTCACAAGTCAGCTCACAAGTCAGCTCACAAGTCAGTTCACAAGTCAGCTCACAAGTCAGCTCACAAGTCAGCTCACAAGTCAGCTCACAAGTCAGCTCACAAGTCAGCTCACAAGTCAGCTCACAAGTCAGCTCACAAGTCAGCTCACAAGTCAGCTCACAAGTCAGCTCACAAGTCAGCTCACAAGTCAGCTCACAAGTCAGCTCACAAGTCAGCTCACAAGTCAGCTCACAAGTCAGCTCACAAGTCAGCTCACAAGTCAGCGTCAAGTCAGCCTCAAGTCAGCCTCAAGTCAGCCTCAAGTCAGCTCACAAGTCAGCTCACAAGTCAGCTCACAAGTCAGCTCACAAGTCAGCTCACAAGTCAGCTCACAAGTCAGCTCACAAGTCAGCTCACAAGTCAGCTCACAAGTCAGCTCACAAGTCAGCTCACAAGTCAGCTCACAAGTCAGCTCATAAAGTCAGCTCACAAGTCAGCTCACAAGTCAGCTCACAAGTCAGCGTCAAGTCAGCGTCAAGTCAGCCTCAAGTCAGCCTCAAGTCAGCCTCAAGTCAGCCTCAAGTCAGCCTCAAGTCAGCCTCAAGTCAGCCTCAAGTCAGCTCACAAGTCAGCTCACAAGTCAGCGTCAAGTCA